CAATCAAACGAAGCTTTCGCCGCTCATGATCGATCATTACATTGTGAGGCTTTACATCTCGGTGCATGATACCTTGTGAGTGGCAATAGTCTAGTGCCTACACAAGAGTCTGAAAAACTTTAAGACCATTAATTGAATATTATCTACATAAAATAACAGCTTCTGCATGTACAACCAAGAAAACAACCACATCCGAGATCTATAATTAAACTTTTTATGGTAGCAAGAAACTGAGACCCTTAGAAAAATTTTTACAAAAAAACAACGAATGGCATATTAAAAATGTGTACAAACAGAAGAGAGGAAACAACAGCTGGTCGAGAATCTCTCCTGATGCTGACTAAAGGTCTAAAAGGTAAAAAAGAATCTCCCAATTCTTCAGTTGATTCTAATGGACGAAGCATCAGTATTTTTCTAAGTTTGGGGAATTCCTAAAAAAAGAGAAATGTATAGTATAATGAAGAATGGATCCCATAAGCTGAGAGAAATAACAGAACATGACAAAGCTTCTACTCTCATACAAAAAACGAAGTACTTTTACTGAATTATGAGACATTTCGTGATGGGGGATGTGCGGGATAGCCTCGTAGGATGAGGATAGGGTAATCTGGAAATTTTGTCTTTCTTCCATGTAGGCAAGCTAAAAGTGATCATGCTATCCTCAAACAGAACAGACTTGAATCAACAAATTGATCTAGTAATGTCTTAAGAATCAATCATAAAAGATGAAAACATTACTACTCGATACTGCCAATTAGAGAGGGAGAATTAGTGAATTAGGAAATGGTATAAAATGCACTTCTTCTCAGTTCCTCAGGAAGAGTCACGATTAATTATTGACTCCATTTACTCTCAAAGACATATCAATATCATATTCATGTGATTTTTATATATAAATATTTAAAAGTGGGGGAAGATCAAACAAAATCAGACAAAATAAAGTCGAGAATTCAAAATATGGTCTTAGATTGCTATTGCAACAGCATTTGGAAAATGGGTTAAACATAACACATGAAATATGTTAAGAGTCGAAGATACATCAACTCGGGATGATTATCAAATGCTTCAATGCATGTCCACACGTGTTAACAGCATACTAGTTTTAAGTGCACGTTACAAGCAAGGTCAATTTTTATTTGTCTTCAAACTGATCAACAATATTGACAGATAATATGTACCACAACAATAAAGCCTTTATCCCAAATTTTGTTGTTAAATACGGTTCTTCTGTTTAAATCATCTGCTAGTACAAAGTCATGAACTCAATACAATTTTTATAGATGAAAACAGATTTGTAAAGAACATAGGAAAAAAACAAATAAGTATGTGGACAAACATCCAACAGTCCAAGACAGATTTTGTTGTTTGAATATCATGAGAAATGCGCCAAAAGAATGACACAAATATATGCATTGTAGCTGCAACAGAATCCAAAAAAGTTGTCAAAACTTGATGATTTCTCAAAAAAGTTGTCAAAACTTGATAATTTCTCATAACTTTATTTGCAGAGATAATTAAGTTGTTACAGGAACTGAATGACAAACTTGCCTTCAATAGTTCATAAATGTAGTATCGAACATCATAGTCCGTCAAAGTTGGATAAAGCACTTTAAACTCTGTGTTATTGACGAACTCAAATATCAGACTGAAAGTTTTCGATTGTTGATCTCTAACAATATCAAGTAAGCTCACAATGTTGGGCCCGCCACATAGATTTTGCAATATCTTTACTTCCCTTTTAACCTACACGAGAATAATAAGACATAAATGCATCAAGTCCATGTTTCATAAAGAAAACAATTGGGTAGTGGAGGAACTAACAACTAAAGTATACATAAATTCCTTCATATAAAACAGCAAGTCAGGAACTAATTTTGTTTGAACATAAAGCCTTTTGCCTCGAGAGAAGATAATGATTTCACAGGAAAATAAACTCATTTTCTTAGGTCCTACATATAACCCACAATCAGGGTTGCTGATAGCGGATCGCGACGCGTCGCGGCGAGGTAACACTAAGGCTATATCGGGCTATTGCGGCGAAATCGCGGCAAATAGCGCACAGTCAAATAGCGATCAAATTTAAATATATTTAATTATCCTAAATAATAAGAAAATTCATAAAAAAAATCTAAAAATTCAATTAGTTGTAAATTTCTTGTATTATCAATAAATAACAATTAATAAGCTTGTTGTATGAATGAAACTATGAAGAAATTCAAGAAATATAGCATCATAATATGTGTGATAGCGGGTTTAGCCGCTTTTAACAACAAAAATCCGCTTTTAACCGCGAAAATCCGCTTTAAACCGCGAAAACCCGCTTTTAACCCGCTAAAATCCGCTTTTACGCGCTATTCGAATGAATAGCGGATTTTCCCGCTTAAGCCAACCGCGAAACCCCTACGCGTAGCACTAAAAGGCCGCGACCGCTATTCGCGCCGCTATAGTCCCGCTATTGACCGCTATTTACAACACTGCCCACAATCAATTTGTGGCGAAGGTTAACAAAGACTAAAATGTCTCATTGGGTTATTACCCATAAATGATTAAAATGATTGTTTAGTATAAATAATACTTCAAGACAATCTCCAGTCTCCACATTGGTGAGGCAACTCATTCCTCATGGTGAACATCTCAATGCCATGTCTTGGGTGATTAAAATGCAGATCTTTCATTTATTATCAGATCAAGTGGCAGCAAGTCAGATGAGACAAATTACCAAGCATCCCTATTATGTACTATTAAAACAGATACATCCATTGTCGTCATTGGATAATATTAAGCACATTCCACTCAAACGTAATGGATGGCAAATATCCAAGCGTCTAAAAGAATCTGATACAAAATCTTTAACATAACGAACATGGACTATCCTAATGCGCATGAGTATATGTTTAATGATAAAATAGAAACAAAAAACGAACAGCTTGTGTGATAGACTTGCTACCATGGTTTTAAATATCGGCCGATAATCTGATATTATCGTCGAGTTACCGGATTTGGGAGCTTTCTGCTAGGATAAGTAGGATTTTTAATCGGTTATTGTTTTTATAGGTTTATCGACGAGTTATCGGCGATAAGGCCACTTATCGGCCGATAAGGGAGGCTGAAAATATCGGCTTTATCGGCGTGAGTTTTGAGTTGAATTGTTGGGTAATGGGATGTTACTTAGTGAGTTCTTAAACCCGACCCGACCTGCTTTTGACAATAAAATGAAGTTTCTAACTTCAAGTTCAGACCTAATCCTTCATGAATCTCTCTCCCTCTCTATGCGGCTGTTCTCCGAGCCTCCAAGCCTCTTCAAACTCCATCGAACTCAAGATCTTTGTTCCCTTCTAACTCCGTTGACCTCGTCGCTCGCCTCCCTGGCCTCGAATCTCACGTCCGCTAACGTCGCTCGCCTCCCCGAGCTCCAAGCTCACCTCCGTCGACGTCACTCGCCTCCCTAACCTTGAAGCTCACCATCGCTGATGTTTATATTTCATTAAGCATTGTTAGATTACATTTTTTGTTTATTATATTATATATATACATCATCTAGTATATCACTCCGATAAATACTACTTATCCCCGATATATCCCTGATATTTCTCCAATTTTCGCTATCCGATAAAGATTTTGACCGTCCGATAAATACCAGATAACCAATATTTAAAACCTTGCTTGCTACCCTTAATGATGATACCCGAATAAAAATTAAGTTTCTAAATCTATGATTGATTTGATAAGAACTTCACATCATGTATTCCCAACGCAAAAGCCAGTTATTCCCTAACATTTATCTGGAACTAACCAACTTCCTCATAATCCGAAATTGTTCTATATCAAGGAGTAGCACGAATAACCAAGAAACCCCGACCCCAACTGTCACACCCATCATTTAACTTGAAATTTTGAGTTTGTTAGCATGGACACCAGGTCTTATGAAATAGGAAAGTTAAAGCTGTGAACTTTATACTTTTACAGTATAGTTGCGCATACAATGTGACTTCCCAATAAAGGTTTTAAATTGGATATCGGGAAATAACGGACTGACAAAAACCCATACTTTATTGTGGATATCGAGGAAATATTGGAAATATGAAGCAAATATGAGACTCTCATATTAGATGACAGGCATATAGCATATATTATAATGTCTTAAACTATAATCAAACATACTTAATAAAATTTAAGCATACAAAAATTTCAATAAATATGTTTTTACGATCACCAACTAACTGTAGAAACTTACTTTGGGAGAATAACCTAGTAGAATTTTGATTGGGTTTAGACCTCAAATATTATTTCTGGTTATTTACACAAGCAAATTTTCTTTACATCTAGACATCAAGTGAACCATAAATCTAAACCAATCTTTTAAAACAAATAAAAGTCTTAATTAATATTGTAACATTTTGGCCGATTTGTTTCAGACCAAATGTCACCTGATATATCAGGAAGATCATAACATATCACCTAAAATTACCAAAAGCAATATATTGTTTTGTGACAAGCCATATAAAAGGACATATCAACCAATGTACCACGAAATATATCGACCATGTGGGGATATATCGCCCAAAGATCACCAAAAATCGTTAAAGGATATTGAGACCATATCGTTTTGTGGCAAATCTTATAAAAGCCTATATTGACCACATCGAGGATATTTAAAACAATGGTTCCAAGTCAGAGAATCGAATCCGTCTAGCATCTAAATGATACTGATTCTAGCCACTGACTAGTTCAATAGTGAAACTCATTCAAAGTTGCTTAATTATGACCATTCAAGCCAAGCAGCAAATATGAACAGAAGCAAGTGGAAAAATATGGTATCCCAAAAGCATTTATGGAACCACCAACATGCTCTCGGCCATTATTGCAACTAGTCTCTCTTGTGGTCTTTGCAAGATAAAAAAGTTCATTCACACATAAAAAACCCCTACTTTAAGTTCATTCACATGAAAAAAAAATCCAATCAAAACTTAGCATTCTTTCTCCTCTATATATACCAAAAAGAATTAAGAATTCTTCACAAGAAAGCCAATGATTGAATCAAAAATGTTATGTGCCATAGTAATTCACTAATCTACTAAAAGCAGACAACGGTACCTGAGTCAAAATTCTGCTTGTCAATTTATAAAACAATTATTGAAGTCTCTATCTTTAATATTAAGCATTCTGCAATGTTCAGGATGTTTGCCTGAAGTAGTAAGTATTTGTTTATTTTGTGAATGGGTGAGTGGCTGATAGGAGTGCACGTGCCTTTATGCAATTGTGTCTATATGTAAGCCAGTAGCAGTTATCAGCAAAAACCACTAAATTTCTACAAGGCAACCTCCTTGTTGAGAAGCTGAATTACGACCGATAATCAATCAATTTCCTGCACGAATCTCTTGAAATCATTGGTAAGCTTATAGTGAGAGTACCCAAGCATCTCCTAGGAGTCTTGTAAAACAACAACAATTCAACTTAATCAACTGTATACATCTAGATAGGATTGCTAGCACAATATGTGAAACAAAACATAGTAAGGAAGAAGAATATTCTTAGAGCTACAGGGGAAAAATACGCCAGGTTGGAAATTATTTTCTTCTGAAAACAAAGGGATTGTTTAAGTCTTAATTGAGTTAGTAATAGCAGCTGGTTCAATATCAAAGTACTCTGAAGTTTTTTATGTTGTTGAAAAAATAGCCTTATTGTCTAAACTGAAGATAAATTTTTAGTACAATAGGATCCTTTTTTTAAAGTGGAAGGTGGAACCCTAATCTCTTTCTATCTCCACTAAAATTAGTGACAGGTCCTACATTCATTAATTATAAACCCTCGTTTACAATGCTGCTGCAGTTAAAATATTGATTGTGTCTCAGACCCAAAATGTGTTTCATTGTTATTGATGTTTTCTAGCTAGCAAATACTTTTTAGTGAATTGAGATGTTCATCTCATCATTCATCTTATGTCTCTGAGAAATTAAAAACTAATTATATATTTGCATTAAGCCTCGTATGCGCATGAGAAGTAGCTGGTAACCATAAGAACATAAAACTAATTCTGCATTTGCTTACATATGAAAAATCAACCCAAACGATATCAAAGGTCGAGTTTAAAACAAACACATTATAGGCAAAAAAGATCGAGTCTTGACTCTTTAGTCACCATAATCAACAAACCTTCTTCTTTTTCACGGGCTTGAGAATCTTGATGACGCACTTCTCCTCATTCGTCGAGTGAACCCCTTCGAACACCTCGCTGTACTTCCCTCTCCCCACTTTCCTCACAACCTCGTACTCATCCTGATCCCTATAAAAATAGGGGGGGGACGCATAAAAACACATCCTAAACCCTAAAACCCAAGAAAATAAGAACAAAAGACATAACGTTGACCATTTTACCCCCACTGCAGGCCGAAAGACTCGTAATCCCAATACTCCTTGGGGCGAACGACGTTGACGTCGGAGTAAACCCTAGATTTGGAGGGAGCGCCGATACCTTGCCGATACGGGACGCGCCATATCGGTCGCGGGGAGGGACGGCGGGCGGAGGCGATGGCGATAAAGGGTGACTGGCGGCGGAGGCGACGGAGGAGGGCGGAGGGAGAGCTGGAGACAAGGCGGTGGAGATGGCCGGAGATTGAGCGGAGAGAGGCCAAGGCCATCAACTGTTGAAGGAGAAGGGGGTTTGGTTTCTATATAGTTGGGGGTGGCCGGTGGCGAGGGTTACTAGGATGGAGAAGACGTCGGTGCTTTGAGTCGGCGATTACGAAAAGGGGAAAGGGATCGGATGTCTCTCTCTCTCTCTCTCGGTTGTTTGGATTAGCACCCTAATAGCCTGTTTGGATTTGTAGGGGTGAAGAGAAGTTAAGGAAACTATGTGAGAGAATAAAAGAGAAGGGAAGAGAGTTCCTTTTTTCTTGGTTACACCCTAATTTGGAGGGTAACAAATTTTATACTATTAAGGGGTAAACCAATGAGAACTAGGGTGAATAACTTTACCTCCTAAATATTCCCAAACAATGTGAATGGAGGTGAATTGTTCCCCTAACTTCCCTTCACCCTTATTCCCCTCAATCCAAACAAGCCATAAGTATGCAGTATGTCGATATCCCGAAATCTTTGAAATTGCTCTCAGGCCCCCTTAAATCTTCAGTATCGATATTAGGATCCCCAAATCTTAAAAATTGACCTCAAGCCCCCGAAATCGTATGAGTATGTTGAAATAAGCGTCATAGTTAAAATCTAGTCGAAATGGAGAGAATATTCTATTTACTTTAACTTTTTAGGTGATCTGTCAGTTATATCCCTTTCATACAAATCCAAATCTATTAATCACTTTAACTTATACTCGTTAAGCTCCCCAAATTTGTTTGGTAGAATCATAACCCAAACCTATTTTCCGCTTCATCTTATCCAACGCCTCCCCTAATGGCTCTCTACAACCTTGATCCTAAATTTGTAACAGATTGATTCTAGTCAGGGTTACAGAAAGTGTTGGGCGGCCTAGGCTTTACATCCGACGCCTAGCGCCTAGGCGGGGCCTAAATGTTTTCCTATTTTTTTAAGTTTTTAATTACAATTACTGATAGTAAATGCTAATGTTATAGAAAGTTTACATGCTGGACTGATACCTTATAGATCTCTTAAGTGATGGTGGAGGATGTTTTGTTAAAGGTCAAGAGAGGTAAACAAGGTGTTCATAGTTGAAGTTTTGAGGAGACTCAAGGACGTGGAGGCCGCGATGGAGAAAATCATGAACAATGCCTAAATGGTATAGTTCATGCAGGCAGACAATGCTCTCTTTGGCGCTTCGAAAACTTAGGTAGGCAGCCTAGATACTTCCTAGGCACTAGGTAGCCGGCCAATGTACTATATATGTCTAGATATAAGCCTAGGCGGTCAAACATAGGCTTTTTAAAATATTGATTCTAGTTGGGGAAAACGTTAGAGACGATAAAATGGAAAATGAGTTTAGGTTAGAATTTTATGGATTTGAGGTTAGGTTAGAGTTTTATTAAATGAGGTTAGGTTAGAATTTTATTAAATGGACTTGAGGAACTTAACAGACATAAGATAAAGTGGCTAATGGAAATGAGTTTGTACGAGAGGGGTATAGCTGGCGAATCACCAAAAAGTTAAATTAAACAAAATATTTCCTCCATCATTTCCATATTTTAACTAGGGAGCTTATTTTAATATACTAATAGGATTTGGTGGACCTAAGATCAATTTCAAAAATTTGGCGGCTAACATTGAAATATTGAAGATGAAGGGAGGGGGCTGAGATCAATTTTAATGATTTGGACGCTGAGATCAATTTTAATGATTTGGAGGTGTAATATCGAAAATATTAAAGATTTAGGGGGCTAATATCAAAATAAACCTTTTGAAAATAAAATTTCACATTTGAAGAACCCAAAAACCTAATTTAGCAAATCATGAAACAAATTTAATTATCACTTGAAGAAGAAAGGCATCAAACATGTGTTAAGATCTTGGTGCTCGAGAAATCTAACAACTCGAAATTATTCGATCTGAATCTACCGTTAAATTTTATTCGAAGTGAGGTAGAGTCCTTACAATGGAGAGGGGCTGATGATGTTTAAGAAAATGAACTATTTCTCATCCATTTTAACAATAACATACTAGAAGGACTAATATCAATATACTCAGGTAATTTAGGAGACTAATATCAAAATATAAAGATTTGAGGGACTAATATCAAAATACTTATTATTTAAGGACTTATTAATGCAGAAAAGGGTTATTTAGACATTAGTCTCTCATATCTTCAATATTTCCATATTAGTCCCTTATTTGTCCCTCATATCCTATGAGGTCTTGCAATTTGGTCCTTTAACGAGTGAAATACCCCTTATTTATGATTTCTCCATTAAAGTCCAATTTATTTAAAAACTGGTCACGTGCACTTTGGTATTCTAAATTTTACACCTTTTTAATTATGACGCCCCAGGGTTCACACAAGACTGCAGTCCCAGATGAAACCCAGATTGTCAAACCTGCCAAACACCAAAACCATGCTACGACATGTTTCACCATCACAATCGTTATCTCTCTAGTGGAAACAATAATAGATGAAGGTACAGACAGGCAAAACTAGAAATAGAACAACACCGATCATACACAGAAGAAGCATAAGAGATATTAATAATGAGCCCAACTGGAATGAAATAGATATATCTCTGAGTCTGAACTAAATCTCAAATACAACGAGTCAAATAAACAAAGTCTTGCAATAGCTCTCAACTCTATGAAATAAAATATCAATCTAGAGTCTGAAAATAATCAACTACATGTGAAGTTCTGCAATGACTACAAAATATAATAAATAGCTAAACGGACAACTAAGATGTCCCATCAACCTACGACTCTCCATGCGCCGGACTTGCTGTTTGAAAAAGGGGGAAAATAACGAGTGTCAAAGCGCTAGCGAGATCATCACTACCTCTCCCCAGGGGAAGGGGCAGGAGGATATAGAAAATAGAGTCAATACATACATATATCAAATCATTCATATAACTATTCATAATTGAAAAATAAATAGTCAAGGAAACATACTCCAATCTCCAACATAAAGAATAGATATCTCATCTCGAAGTACATCCGAGTAGCCTGCTCTAATATAAGAGGATGCCAACCAAAACAAAACGAAATATAATTGTCGTCCATAACGGGTGTGCCAAAATCTCAAAGTAAATACCCTACTCACGGGTAGTCTATCATGGAAGTAAAACTTATAACTGATCAAATATCTATGTGTGCATCATCTTGTGCTATAGCGATACTTTTGTAATGCTCTTACTCAATCGCTCTGCGACAATAGGTTTTATTATCTCCCTATTTCGGATACGTGTAATAACGATACTTTTGTAATACTCTTACTCAATCATTCTACGGCAAATAGGTATCATCTCTCTATTTTCGGATACGTATAGAACAACATTATTCAATATGTGTTTATCAATTTATCTCATGTCGAAAGTGTGTCAATCTAACACAATCTAGCATATATGCACCAAATCTCGGTGTGTGTGAACACATGTGAAGTTCACCATCATTCTAGGTGTTTAACATTCATTAACATCATAGTCTATCATCATAAGATCGAGAAATCCATTCGACGACCAATTCCAACCCTTATAAACATGCACAGTCAAAAACAAACTGGCGGTCGACCGTGGCGGTCGACCGCGATGGGCTCCAGAGACTACCCAGGTCTCTGTCCTGCACGCGGTCGACCGTGGCGGTCGACCGTGAACCCTGATTCCAGATTCTTAAATTTTTTGTGTATGTCGTATTCACGTTGTGTTTTTGTGATTCAAACATGATTAAATCTTCATAAAACTTGTATGCAAACATGTCACAGCAGATATGAACATCTGGAAACAACTCAACAATTATAAACATGATTTTATGCATTAGATTTGTATTCAAAACCCTAAAAACATGCATAAAAGCTCAAAACAATGAATCAAACTTTTTTCTTTAGATTAATCATGTTTTAAAATCATCTTCATGTCTTAAATACTTCTGTAAAAATCATTCTCAACCTTTTTAGCATAGAAAGACCTAGTCTCTTTACATATAATACAAAAGAAGTTGACTTTATTCATAAACTAGTCATTTAGGCTCTACAAAATATGTTTAAAACTCTTTAAAAACGTTTTAAAAACTAGGAGAGGGATTAGCAGAGATGATACTTGTCTAGGGTTGTAGGAAAATGTGTTAGAAGCAAGGTTGAAAAAGGTCTCCACTCCAAAAGCCAAGAATCACCCGAAAATCCACTTGAAATCCTTCAATCTTCTCTAAGAAATCAAACTAGGGTTTGGTGGGTTTTGGTGACTGTTAGGGTTCTTAGGAAAACTGAGAAAAACGTGAAAACTCATATATATATTAGGGGAAAACGGATATGGTTTAGAAATCCGAAACCAATTCAAAACAGAAGAAAAACAAACTGCAGGTATCGCGGTCGACCGCGACAGTCGACCGTGACGGTCGACCGGACCGGACATTTCCAGTTTCCATATGATTGGACATTTGTGCATGTTTCAACTCTTTTCTCTCTCATGTATGAACTCGTTCATACTCAAAACACATGGTATTATACTCATATACCATTAAATGATATTTATCATACTAAATATCCACATATCATATATACCATTAAATGATATTTATCATACTAAATATCCACATATCATAATTTATCACACATTAATTATATTAGTCATAAATTATCGGGGTTTTACATTCACCCTCCCTTAAGAGGATTTCGTCCTCGAAATTCCACAGTCGCATCTCAAAGCTCAATAACTGGGAAAACACATTAAGAATGTGTAATTCATATTAAGAATTCCTTCTGCACACATCACATAATGTTAGCACAATGATATTTAAAGTTAACAACCTAGAATGCAAACATTCTTACCTAAATCCTTAACTAAACGAAATTGGTACGTCGAGCGAAATAATCCAAACAAATAAACTCTCATGTATATACCATATACTTCAATTGATTAAGGATCAGGCAAAAATATCCCCATTTTAGTGTTAAAGATAAATATAAATGTGCCTAAACAATCATAGATAATGACAACTATCAAGTTATATAAGCATATTAACATCATACCTGTCCAAACAG